AGCGAATGCAAAAAGTGAAACTGCGTCTCATCTGACGCACGCTTCAAGAGCCTTGCTCCCATCCAGCACCCTAATGTGCATTATTTAAAAGGGGCCTCCAGGTGGTGCTGTGGTGCTCTGCCCTCTGCTTCTCGGGGATGAAGGTGTGTTTCTTATCATCACCTGCAGAGCCGGTTTTCTGCTGGAGGCAGGCTCCGCCTCCCATGTGTGCAGGGCAGCAGAGATTGGCTGTTTTCAGTTCAGAGCTCGCATGAAAGAAAATACAATTTTCAGATCATATGCTGCCTGCTGTTGAACATATCTTTATAGTGAATATAAATTACCCAGCTAACAACTTCCTGCTAATTCCACCCTTGGGGAAGGTAAAATTACCCACAATTAGCTTATAGTACTCCATAGCTCCAACTATTGTTGCTACTATTTCTGCAGTCACTTCTAGGTTAATTACTACTATTGCTACTACCATTGTTACCATGACTACCATTTATAAAATTCATTGTCCTGTACATGTATCTGTGTGTATAAGTAATAATTTTTTACTTGCATGTTTTTTTTTGCGGCGCGTTTGTCAACATTTATTATTTTAAGTGCGCTTCGTTACCTATTATTTAAATTACTGCCTGTACAGCTACAGCAAATACTTGAATTGCTGCTGCTACATCTTCCAACGAGGATAAAATCCATATCTGAACGGTCCGCATCAGTGAGTCTGTTTCATTTTTACTGAATTTGTGTTTCTCTGACTCCTGATCTTTGATCTCTGACCCGACAATTCTTGCAGGCTGATAAAATCAAGACAAACACTTCCTTTTGTGGATGAATAATTTAAGTGAGGAGATGTGAAGGAAGGCATCTCCCTCGCTCAGGTGAAAATTGGCCTGCCTTTTTAATATTGAGCAGAACTCTGACATTAAAGGATTGTTGAATTATAAATGAATATTGCGCTGAAATGTAAATTTCACTTATGTAACCCCCCCCCCCCCCCCCCCCCCCCAACCCCCCCATCCTCATCCCTCGCCATCAACCCGCCGTTTAAATCTTTAATCTCCATATGTCCTTGTTTCAGCGGAAGAAAATATCCATACGCTCAGCTCCACCTCTCTTGACTGGAATCCGTCCTCCGTATTCCTGCGTGAGGAACGGTGTCTGTATGTCTGTGTGGTAGGTGGTTTTACAATTCTTTTTCAGAGGAAGAAAGGGAAAAAAAAGGATTGGTATTTTGTTCATGTTCTTTAGACAGCTCTGTCTTTGCGGTGCTTTGGAAAAGTGCAGATATTATGATACTGATCCCATAATGCACCTGGGTGAGCTCTTCCTTTGGCAGTTTTTAAGCTGGACAGGGGCCAAATTGCACACTTCACTGTGTCCTCCCAAACGTCTACTAGACCCCAATTTCCTGCTTCACAAACCATCCGTTATGACAGCTTCACAGAAAAAGTGGCTTAAATAAAGGAAATTGCAGTAGACATTCCGACAAATGTGTTGGGCGTATGCGGTTTCTACCAGTAGTGTCAGATCACGGGGTAGGAAAAAAGTGCATGCTCACCAGTACACGCTTTACCTGTCTTAAAATTTTTGTTGTTCCTAGTTACTTGTAAGATGAAGTGGATAGCCAACGACTTATAATTACCTGTAAGTCTCTGAATGGAGGGCGAGAGAGAGGAAAAAAGAGAGGGATCGGAAGGGCCACAGTGCTCATCTCCATGACGACTAAACGCACCTCGGTGACAGACGCAGCTGTCCCCAGGTACCTGGGGCGACTGTCTTCTGACGAGTGCCATTGTTAGCACACGATGTTTAACATTTCCCTATAGTTAGCACACAGTCACATAACATATTCACATGCAAGAGCATGTTTTCCACCCACCTCTCAGCTCTTGCCTGGAGCCCTTCTCTTCTACCTGCTCTAAGAGCTTGTGCAATTCCCCCATTACAATTAAGGAATTCTTTTCATCTTGAGTAGTTTGAAATTTTCCCATGATCCTCCAGAACTTGGAGGCACTGTACCATCTGGCTGTGGTACGATGGTCGAGGCAATGTGACGATTGTGATGGCTGCTCTGCACGGGGTCATGTATTTGGGCGGCGAAAGGACAAGGGAGGCTTTTGCTTCTATTTGAAGAGCAAGATCACATTTAATTGGTTCCTTCAAGTGATTGGCAGCTACGATGGTAGGCTGTCCCATTAAAGGGGAGGAGCTTCACTCTTCCAGCACTTGTCAAGTTTATTGGGTGTATACCTGATATTTTAAATTTCAGTGCGCTCTGAGGAGTTCTATTGGGGGCTCTGTGTTTTCCTGTGCCAATTTTCTGTCCTCCACACTTCTTCTTCTCTCTGTCTATTCTGTGTCTTCCTACAGAGTATCCCCAACTATCCTTACAAATAAATAAATATGTGAAAATATAAAAAAAGAAAGACTAAACAAATGAACAGGGCTTTGATCTGAAACTTGGATCCTTCACTCTGTTCACCGTGTCTTATGTGGCAACATTATTCCTAAAAGAACGCAAACCATCATTGAAAAAAAATGAAATATTTTTGCTGTTCTGACGAAATTAGATTCACAAACCTAGTTACATCTAGAACCAGAAAGATTAAAAGAACAAACAAAACCAAACAAAAAAAAATCTGAATTATTTATTTAAGGGGTGAAAGAAGAAAGTGGGTTTGTTCTTTCTTATGCAGTATTATTCCCTTTGTTGAATTTTTCACACTTGAAAGCATGTTCCTATTGACCAGTCTCTGACCAATAGCGCGCCATCACTGTGAATATGAGAAACAGCCCCTGATTGGCTCTCAGCTGACATTTTTTTTTTTTTAAATGGGGGCCCCTTGCTTAACTCCCAGCAGGCAGGAAGTCTCTCTGATAAGACTCGAGGGGGGGTTTTGTTTACCTTATCCAAGACCTATTTATTTCCTAATCAATTTTTAACTCTGTTTTTTTTCCTCTCTCTCCCTATTTGAAATTGCCCTGTCGTATTCAAAAGGGTTCATCTTGCTGAAATAGACAAGAGGGATGTAGCCACAGTTCTCTGAGGACCCCAGCAGTAGCTGGATGTTTTAACTCCGCAAAGCTCCAGGTTAGCTGCCCGGCCAGGGAAATGGCTCAACAGAGGAATCAAATGGGATGTTAGTTTCTCCATCCGAATTGAGATATTCCTGTACATTATCATTGCATAAAACATCATACCAGTCAATGCAGAACTATACCGGAATTTGCAGTGTAAGGTTTTTACACACAGGGTGCTGCGGTGACCCTAAGGGCTGCATCTATAAACATAGACAATTTTACCAAAGTGCAACGCAGTGATGTGTGCTGTGTTGTTTGTATCTCAGAGGTAATACTAACTACCGCAATACGTTTTTGCTTATGTTACATTTATGTGGATTCGATGGAGGAGACAGTTTTTATGGAAGGTGTGTGAGTGTGAATGTGTATGATGCATGGGAATATGTGTGTGTGTGTGCACGTGCACGTACATGTGCGGCTGTATCTGTACATACATGTGTGTCCATGTTTGTGTATGATTACTTGCGTGTATGAGTGTGTATGCATGTACATATGTGTGTGTGTGTGCGCATATACATGTCTGGCTCTGTCTGTACACAGGTGTGTCTCCATGTTCATGTATGATTACCTGCGTGAATGTGTGTTTATGCATGTACATAATGTGCCTCTGTGTGAATGTGAGTATGTGTGTGCGTATGTGTGTGAGTGAGTGTGTGTGTGAGTATGCTTTAAAATAACTTTCATGAGATAGCAATGCCTAGTCACCCCAAGAGCCCCGAGTGCTGAAGGTGCAGGAATATTTCTGCTGACGAAGCCGCCCTGCCCCAGTCGACTGTCTTTTCACAGCCCACTGCGTCGCTCATCCTGCAGGGATGATGATTCACCCGTTCTCCAGGATTCGGCCTGTACATCCTGTGAAACCTGCCTTTGCTTTCTGAAGCAGGGAAGAGGCAGAAAAGTTGAATCCGAAATGGTTCACTATATAGTGTCTGCTGAATTCTGTTAAAATCGTACTGCTCTTGTGTCACTGTAGTGCCTACTACAAATCAGCAGTACGTTAGAATTCGAACACACTGCGGCCATTATTTTTTTCCACGGCCGGGTGTCTCCGACAGACGTACATCCATCCACACGAAACAAGAAATTTGCGCATTCATTTGCTCTGTCATTAGTCTACTTATTGGCAAAAATGTTCCTTTTTGTTGGCGTTTTTCTCGCAAGTGGAGATAAAAGTTGCAGGGTATTGTTTCTTCTTCTGTGGTATCTCCGCACAAACCTTCTGGGATGGCGTAGTGTCCAGTGCTTCCACACTGCAATCAGTAGGCCATACGGGTAACATCTGCATGCTGCTTGATTTGTTAAGAGAATTCGGACACACAACACACTACACATACTGATTTTTGCCGGCTCCACAGGGCGTAGTGTGCAATTTTGGACGCAGCTTAAGTATTCACCCAGTCTCATCATTCCCCAGATACTCAACACATCAACACACCCTCCTGAAAAACCATTGGGTGGGAAATAATCCAGAAAAGATGTATTTACATATCAGCGCTGTATTTATGTATGATCTAACTAGCTAAATCATTCATGATTCATATGTGGTGACATATGACGCAAGCAGTGATGTTGTATGTCAGGGGTGTCAAACTCCAGTCCTGGAGGGCCGCAGTGTCTGCGGGTTTTTGTTCTTTCCTTTCGATTGGCAGCCATTTTAGGCCTTGGAAACCAGGTGTGTGGACTCTTTAGCCAACCAGTCATTTTAATTAATCAATTAAGTGCTAAAACACACCAAAAACCAGCTACCACTGCGGCCCTCCAGGACTGGAGTTTGACACCCCTGTTGTATGTGCATCCATAAGCACCAGCTACCTATATAGTGACTTACTTATCAAAATCCTAGGTCTAAGGACTGTAGAGTAAACTATGTTGATAATTTTTTACCTTAACATAACAATGCAATGTGATGTAAAAAATAAAGTAACTTGAAGTGTCATGGGTGGGGTTTGAACCTACAACCTTGGAGTTTTTAAGCACCATGCCTTAACACAGTGAGCCACTATGTCTTGTCCAGTTGAAGGTGTGATGTAATTTGTTAGTCTAGCTCAGTCATTGGTGAAACCGCTGCAAAGTGGAGAGATGGTTTTCTGCTCCAGATAATCCGTGTCTGGTTTTTTTGTGGGTGCTAGTGGGTGGAGCACTTTGATTGAGAGGCAGGGCCTGTGTGAATTGGGCCACCTGTGGCTAATCAGCTATAAGGTTTAAATACAGGCCAGGGTGCAGCAGTCATTCAGTTGGGAACTGAAAAGGTTAGGGTGGGAGCTCTGCTCCTGGTAAGGTTTGGTTTAGTTAAGTCCCAACTTAGTCAGGGTGGGAGCTTGGCTCCTGGTAAAGGTTTTTATAGTTAGTCTGACCAAGTGAATTGAGACTTGTGTCATTTTCTTTTTTTATCTTCTTTTAAATTGAAGTTCATTCAGGAACTTCCCAAAAGGTTTTTTTTTTGTTGTTTTTTTTCATTCGCACAAGACAACCCCAGCTGGAGGTATCTTTGAAGTCTCTTGAGAACCCTGATTAATGAGATTTTGAATTAATGTCTCATTACATTTTTTTTTTTTTTTTTTCCTGTGTTGAAGAGATTCTTTTTAGTTATTCTCCTTAAATTCCTCAACTTAGTGGACGCAAATGGTGTCTTGTACAACCCCTTGTCCTTAAGTTCAAATATAGTGATTATTTGTTTTGTTCTTAGTCGCCCCCCCCCCCCCCCCCAGTTGGATGTGAAGAGAAGTGGGAACATAACAGAAGGAATCTGTCAATCAAAACCTCCATCCAGACATAAATAGCATCTTGTTGTGAGGGGGAGTACAGTTCTGTTGACACACTAATGAATGTGTTACAAGAGATTATACTGAAACACTAATGAATGTGATACAAGAGGGGTCTGATGAAACACAACTGAAGATATGAGTTTTGTTGAAACACTAATGAACATAATACGAGAAAGTTTGTTGAAACAAATGAACGTAATATGAGTGAGCTGTGAGAATGTTTCCTGACGTGCAACCATGCGGACAGTAGACTTTCATGCCAGGTTTTCTGAAATTGAGGCTTGGTTTTCGATTTTGGAGGAACAGGTCAAAGAAGTCATGTCCCTAGTGAGTTCTAACAAGAGCAATGTAAGAGAGGTCATTAACCTCGCAGAGAAAACGGGCAAGGAAATTACACCGCCGAGAGACGAAACCGATGATCTGGAGAACAGGAAGATCCAAAATATGGATCATCAACATTAAAGAGATCATCAAGGGATTCCGCAAATACAGAATGTACAGTCATTTACGGATTTTAACAGCTTTGACAGAGTACACAATATACTATTATATATGCACAATCAAATATACCAGATGCCACAGCTTATATAATGCATAGCTCTGGTCATGTGGAACACAGATCTGTGAACAAGTAGAACAGCTTGCCAGGTCATTTAGTTGAGGCAGAAACCCTTGAAGTTGTCAGCAGAAGTCCAGGCCTGATGCATCATGGGAAATTCTGTACATTGTAGGTACACGACAATCCTAATTTCATGACATTGCCAGAAGTGATACAATGACTGTGTAAAGGTTATGCATTTGCCCTTAAGTTTGGAAGATGATTATCCCAAAAATTATCTATTTGGTCTCGGTTTTGAGTTAAGCGGCTAAGAGTTGACACAGGTCAGACAATAATATACAGGTGTAAATTTTATTTCAAGTAATTGTGATATTGCACTCTATTGTTCCATATCATAAGGAGTGCATTAAAAAGACATGTTCATCATGTCAAGGGAAACCAAAAAGGTTTTCTATGAAAAAACCAATTGTACTTCGTAGACTGTTGAATCTTTGAACCTCAGAGAGAAATTCACTGAATATTTCAAAGCGCTCTTTGATGCAATAAAGGTTCAAAATGTAACTAAGAAGTTTTATGTCTGACATTTTTCTCGGGAGTGAAGACAAAGATGTCTAAGTTCTCTGTTTCTCTTCTCATTGGCCAAACAACCCTTTGACCTTTGACCTTTCTGTTTGATATAATCTGCCTCCATTTGATCCATCTATTAAACTGTCCTTGTGAACAAATTATTACTCCCTGTCAATGGTCTCGTGTTATATTTCACTAACCTAGTGAATTGTCTACCACCTGTAATGGCCTGCCGAAACGAATTTTGTGCAATCCTGGGGAACAAAAATATGCAAATAATTAGGTCCTCCTGCTCAATGTGCTAGATACAAGCTATGCTAGCTCCTACTGAACCTCTGAATTCATGTTCCAGTCGTTTTAAATATTTGGGTATAACTGTGAGCCACTATGTCTTGTCTGGTAGTTGGTGTGATGTAATTTGTTAGTGTAGCTCAGTCATTGGTGAAAGCGCTACAAAGTGGAGACATGGTTTTCCACCCCAGATAATCCATGTTTGGTTTTTGTGCAGGTGCTAGTGGGTGGAGCACCTTGATTGGCAGGCGGGGCCTGTGCGAATTGGGCCACCTGTGGCTAATCAGCTGCAGGGTTTATATACAGGCCAGGGTGCAGTGGTGACTCTGTTGGGAACTGAAAAGGTTAGGGTGGGAGCTCTGCTCCTGGTAAGGTTTGGTTTGGTTTGGTTTGGTTTGGTTTGGTTTGGTTTAGTTAAGTCCCAACTTAGTCAGGGTGGGAGCTTTGCTCCTGGTAAAGGTTTGTATAGTTAGTCTGACCAAGTGAATTGAGACTTGTGTCATTTTCTTTTTTTATCTTCTGTTAAATTGAAGTTCATTAAGGAACTTCCCAAAAGTGGGTTTGTTTTTGTTTTCATTCGCACAAGACAACCCCGACTGGAGGTATCTTTTAAGTCTCTTGATAAAACCCTGAGTAATGGGATTTTGAATTAATCTCATGACTCATTTTTTTTTTTTGTGTGGTGGAGAGATTCTTTTTCAGTTATTCTCCTTAAATTCGTCAACTTAGTGGATGCCAATAGTGTCTTTTAGAACCCCTTGTCCTTAAGTTCAAATATAGTGATTATTTATAACTGGAGGAAAACTATGATGGTCAATCAAGACAATTATATAATACAACTGGAACAAATTAAAACCTACTTTTATATTTACTTGGCAGAATAAATAGTTTAAAGGACTGTATTATAATTGACAAAGCTATGCTCATTGTCCCATGGCAAAGAAAACCCTTTTTTATGGATTTATCACAGACATATGTGATTTGGATAAATTTTCCAGCTGTCAAAATTGTTACACAGCACCGCATAATGCGATTCCAGAGCTAACCTTGTGCTATCTTGCACAGTACTGCCACACTCATTGTGAATCACAATGCTTGTACAGCACCTTTAGATGTTACTTATAGATTCTGTGCATCCAGTCTGAGTAGTCCAGGTCCTGTCCAAGCGTTCTGAGAGAACATATGGATCTCCTGGTACAGGTGTCTGCTGGGTAAAAGGTCAACACAGGTGATGCAGCGCAAGATCATTAGGTTGATGCTTACTGTGCCCCCTAGAGGTCATGGTGGTGCCAGTGAATGCAAATTAAGCACACGTTTCCCATTGGAGACTGGTGTTATGGTCAACATCATGAATGATGGTGCTCTTCAACATCCAAGAGGCCAAACCTGGAAAGGTCTGGCTTTGCCTCCAGTAAAGATGAGCAGAGACGGTGGAATTTATCATCATTGAATTAATTGATGGAATTGCGCATGCGATTTCAGAATTCAGCCAAAATATTTATTCACACAAATGAATGTGTTCAAGGCCAGATGAATATCTACAAATTGTATTTTATAAATTTAGAATATATTTGAAATTGGAGTTTGAGGAGGTATTATGTGAGTACATTTTATACATTTTTAACAAAATATAATAAATCTCAAGCATTTTCATTTTTGGTGCATTGTTAAACCATACCCAGAAGTGATAAAATGACATTGCGAAAAGGTTATGTGTCTGCCCTTAAGACGGGGGTGTTGGAGGAAGCCATTGTTTATCATGAATTATGCACATTCTCTGGTATTATCACTTCTTTCTGTCTTTTCTTTCTTTCCTTTTTTTCCTGATCTGAAGCTATTTTTAAAACCACTGTCTTTTCACCGTGCAGAACAGAGCGGCTGTCTACCCCATCCACCCCCTGCAGCCCCCCCCCGCCTGTGGTCTCCAAGGTCACTCCGCCACTCAAGACCGGCGCCCACCTTGAATTTTAATGACAAACATAGCCGCATCGATCGAAGGAGAGCAGTTACTTTCTCTGTCCCCTTTTTCTTTAAACTACCTGCGCTTTGAATTTTAAACACGGGACAAAGGCAAGGCCAGCAAAGATTGCAGACAGGAGAAACCGCGTTGCCAATTCAGACCGAAAAACACTCTCGGCTCGCCAAACATTCGGGCTTTTCATTAACTCACCACATAAAGAGTTACGTTATGAATACACACACAGGGAATGTGAAAATAAATGAAATGTTTCATGTACTAAAGCTGTGTATGAGTGGTTTTCATTTATTAACTGTTACGAATTCAGACAGTGTTTTATCCACCAAGACTGTTTAATGCAGCAAAAGATTCCCTTTGGTTTACAACAGAGGGACTAGATGACTGGCCATAAGACAATAGGGCCTTTTACGAAATGAAACCCAGGGAATGTGTTTGATTGGCCACCGAGCCTTACACAACTGTGTGCTATCAATGTTTTACATAAGGATGCCTTTTACTGGTAATTATGCTATTACAAAACCCCAGGGTTTGTTCAGAATACCAAAAGTACTGAATTAATGAAAGGGGAAGTTACACAGCCAATCTTTTCTTTTTTTGAGGACCTTGTCAGCGACAGACTTTGAAACTAGAAAGTATTCCACGGGCAAATATTCTGCCAAATACATGTGAGTAATGTTTTAGGACTCCAGTATGAATAATATACATGAAATATTTGACCTTATGAATTAATACTGTGATGGGGAAGCCTCCATAATTGTATTTTCTAAATTGGAGTTCTCTAATTGCCTTTGGTTATAACCACAATTACTTGTATCGTTTTGTCAAATATACTGCCTTATGAAAACA